ACTGCTGTGCTGAGGTTTCGGGTTCGATTCCTAGGTCGGACCAAATGTTTTGTATGATTTGCAAATACAAGGTGTCTCAAAAGAAAGTTTATATTTGTTTAGCTTACTGCGTGAACGCAACGAGTCCGAGGAGCGCGGGGGTTATGTCAATCGGTAGCCTGGCTCTTGGGAATTCAGTTGCTATGGAGCGTTTCTCGGGAGCAGACCGTAAGTTGTGCGTGCGAGAGTTTTACAAAAACGGTGATTCGGCGACTGTAGCGCGTAGAAGGTTCTGTAGTGTTCGAGGTTTTCGCCATTTAAATGATGCGCCAAGTATTCCTCTTATTCGAAAATGGGTCACAAAGTTTGAAGAGACCGGTACAACGCTGGAAAAACCAAAATCCAGGCGACCAAGGTCATCAAGAACGGTAGAAAACGTGGAGAGTGTTAAAACGACCCGAACCTTTCAATTCGGAAGCGCGCAAGTGCTTTAAATGTGCATAGATCATCATTACACCGCATTTTACACAAAGACCTAAAGCTGCACCCCTACAAAATTCAATTGGTGCAAAAATTAAAGCCCCAAGATGCCAGTCAGAGGCTTGACTTCGTAAATCAGGCGATTGAGCGCTTTTCAACGTTTACCAACATCTTGATTTCGGATGAAGCTCATTTTCTTGTTAATGGACACGTAAATAAGCAGAATTGCCTAAAGTGAAAGTATGGACTGCGATGTCGGCGCGAGGAATTATCGGCCCTTATTTTTTTGAAGACGAATGGGGGCGTGCAGTTACAGTGCATTCAGAGCGTTATGTGGAGATGTTAAACGACTTCTTGGCGCCTGAACTGAAAAACTTGCCTGGCCATAACTAAAGAACATGGATCCAGCAGGACAGAGCAACGTCACACACGTCCAATACGTCTCTGCCACGAGTTCGTGAAATTTTCTCAGGAAAATTGATCTCCAGGAGAGGTGACATAAATTGGCCTCCACGCAGTCCTGATTTAACCCCTATGGACTTTTTCCTATGGGGTTATCTTAAATCTAAAGTTCACGCGAATAAACCGACTTCCCTGGCGCATTTGAAAGAAAATATCCGTCACAAAATGGCAGCTATCACTGAGTCCACCTGCCGAGCCGTCATAAGTAATTTTACTGTTTAATTAAATGAGTGCCGCGAACGCGAGGGTCTACATTTGGAGGATATTATTTTTAAGAAATAAATGCCCAAATTGTGTACTTTAATAATTAATAAACATTTTTTCGATAGACTGCTTACTTTTTTTTTAATCGATCTACTAAATATAAACTTTCTTTTGAGACACCTTGTATTTGTTTCAGAGTTTCGGTGTTTTCTATGTAAAATATATTATACATAGAAAACACCGAAGTTAAATTACTTGTGTGTCAGATATCCGAAATATTATTATTATTATTACACCGGGAGTGTAAGGTTACTGGAGCCCCCGTATACTGGTGGGGGTGGGGGACGGACCCAAGGGGCTGCAATGCACTCTGTAACTCTTGAGTTTTAAGTTGCAGGTGTATATGGTAGTCACTCACCATCAGGTGATCCGCACGCTCGTTTATCCCCCTATGCCATAAAAAATAAGATTTTACTTTTTTGCGTATTAAATAATTTAAGAAATTTCATCAAATCGGTTCAGCGGTTATTGATTCCCCATACAAACCTCCACCCCCTTTCCGCCCCCTTTAAGGATGATTTCTATAGTAAAAACCAACCAAGTACCAAAGTTTATCTAAATTAGTTCAGCGGTTTAAGCGTGAAGAGGCAACGGACAGACAGACAGAAGATTTTGAGGCAAGAAATAGGCTACTATATGTATACCGCGATAACCGACATACACGCGGGCGAAGCCGCATTCATAAGCTAGTTTTTTATAAGTCTATGTCCCTGTGACGACGGATTAAGATTGTGGATTGTCACCACCCCTATTCATCCCGTGGGTGTCGTAAGAGCCGGCTAAGGGAGCAAACATCGCAGGACAACAACACTGCAAAGAGAAGGAAAACTTGACACAAACCCTTTACCAACCCTCCTGGCCAGCGTGGTATAGTAGGCCAAAACCTCCTGTCTAAGGAGAGGCCTGTTAAAGGCTGTTTTTGAGGATTGATGATGACACACTTTCCAAAAATATCTTAAATTATTTATTACACAAAACAGATAGACAGACAGAAAGACAGACAGACCGACACACTTTCGCATTTATAATTTAGTATGGAGTTAGTAGTTTCTGTTTTCTCGTCTTTCTTTTTAGTCTTTCGTTAATGGTCAGTTTTAAATGATAGTTAATTCGATTGAGCGATCCGTTTGCTTAATACTAAACCGTTTAGCTTACAGGGGGCACCCTATGCGCTAAACTGTTGGCCTAAAAAGAATGAAACGGAAAAGTATTAGGACCAGGTTAGTTTAGCTTCAGAGTAATACTCGACCAACTTAGAAAATGTTCTCAGTTGAAAGATGTCGTACAAAATACAAAATCCATGTAAAATATTTAATTGAAGTCCCAAATTGTTTTAAACAGGTAGTAAATAGGTAGTATCGAATCCTAACTAGAAACACAGCGGCTTGATCAGATGTTTTTATAATGTCATTATTTGCCTATAAACATTCAATCTTATTTCATACCTGTATGTATTCAAATGATATTACGTATTTTTTTAAATGAAATCTTGAGTTTAAAATGAGTCGTTTTAAATTAACTATATACATTCTAATATTAACACAAAAAAATAAATTAAAACAATTACTACTTGTTAATATTTCAACAGAAATAGTTTTTTAATTGCTCCATACTACTAACATATTGTTTCTATCAATTTAAATTAAGTCAATATATTATATTATATATTGCGTTAATGAAATTCACTGGTTTGGGTGTATGGTGAATAGGCCAGCAATGAGATCCTCAACGTGAAATAAGTGATTGGAAGAGTCATGATTGTGTCTCAAAGTAAACACCTTAAGCCATCCGTGATTACGAGCGGGGGTGGAACACGGACGCGGTGGGGGACTTCGAACGAGGCACGTTACGCTAGAATGCAGAAAATGTGTTCTGTTTTATTAGAGAGGCCAATAAATTCAGTACGTGAGCCGACGCAATAGATCACTACTGGGATCACGTGAAAAAATATACTCTTTGTAACCTTGAGCTCTGATGAAGAATATACCTTTATTTACTCAACACTAGAGAGACGAAAATAGAGTACAAATTGCAGCTGACAAGTATAAAAATAATAGGTACCTACTCAGAGTTTGCACTTGTAGCGTGGACTGAACGCACATAAATCATACGTTTCAGAGGGTGACATATGTATGTATACTTCAATTAGAGTAAGATTTTCTAACTACAACATTAAAATAAGTTACTTCTAAAGCGATTATAGATATGATATATATTTTAATATAATTTGCCTGTTAGGTTTAATTAGTGCAGCCGTTCTGTCTGAAAAACTTTGAAATTAAGGTGGATTTTTGTCTTACTAACGAAATAATTATTATAAGACAGACTTTCGTCTGACTGTCCATCCTTACTCTGTTTTCGAGAATCATATTAACTTTGGCTGTTTATTAATTCGTTAATCTCTGAATATAATTTGAAATCTAAAATCTAATTATTCAAGTGGTCTAGTATAATAATTTAAGTAGATTCAGCAGAGATACTTAACTTTTCGGATGTATTTAATTAGATATATATTTTGCTATTTACCAAGATTTTATTGTCTCGAATAAAATAACAAAGGGTGTCTTTTTTGATAAAATAAAATAAAATTGTTCTTTTTATTTTCTGAAAGATCATTTATTAGAACAAATTCTTTACAGAAAAGAAACGAAAATAGCATTTATGTTACAAATGAACAACAGTGTTATATTATCCAATACCCACTGTATAAGTAGGCGGGTCGGAGTACGTCACTTTATCCGGT